CCAGTGTAAATAAATAACCTTGAAAGAATTTGGAAAGTACAAAGTGCTATGGTCAATTTCTTGAAAGGGAAGGAATCATGGAGGATAAAACAGCACAGCACAGCAAAGATATCCGAGTTTATTCCAGTGGGACTGTCAACCCCCAAACCCACAAACTTAAGTGAGGAAATAATCCCAATATTTCTTATGTCTGGATGTTATGGTTTAAATTGCATTTGTATTTGTAAGCCATTTTGGAAGGGCCTGCATCCTTAAAGGCAGTTACAAATGAGACTGAAAGTCACAAGAGCCAATATGATCTTACCATCATTGCCAAATCCATTATAGCCATCTCCACTACCTCCATAGCCACCACTGCCACCTCCGCCACTACTGCGACTGCTAAACCCACCTGAGAAAAACCAGACACCTGTTAACATATTTTTTTTTTCAAATATGAGCTTGCATGATGAATTCTAACAACTCCAGCTAAATGATTAAAATTTAAACTGTCTTACTTCAAGGCAATATACAAGACAAAAATTGTTACAAAATGGGCTAATATCTAGCTTTTCGTTCCAAAAGGATTCCTGCCTTGTTCAGCAATTTCTCCCTGGACTCTCCTAGTATAGCAATGGAAGCAGCTGGAACAAGTTATCTACCTCTTTCTTCAGAATTAAAGGGAAAGAGAATTAACAACACTGAAAGGAGATTTGTCTCCCAGCTTATTAAGCTCAAGAATGGAGGGGACACTCTTAATCCTAGTAATACATAATCTACAAGGTATAAGTCAGAACTTCTTAGGACTCTTTTGATGAATTAGATCTTAAGTTAATCAAATCTTTAAAATAAAATCAGCGAAAGTACTTACCACGGCCACTAAAATTGCTGCCACGGTTGAAGCTGTCTCCACCACCAAATCCACCTCCACGGCCACTTCCAAAGCTACCAGAACTACTGCGACCTAACAAGAACAACAATCAGCACTACTGAAAAGCATCACTAGTGTAACCTTACTCTGACCCAATCACTGAAAACTCACCTCTTTGGCTGGAAGAAGCACTGGCCATTTCTTGCTTTGATAAAGCTTTTCTGACTTCACAGTTATGTCCATTCACAGTATGGTATTTCTGAACTAAAAACAGAAGATTAAAATGTAATCAATTCCTTTGTAACTGATAATCACAAATACTTTATTTGATGTGGTTAAGAACTAATAGACTTACTGACAATCTTGTCCACAGAATCGTGATCATCGAAAGTAACAAAAGCAAACCCCCTCTTCTTGCCACTGCTACGGTCAGTCATTATTTCTATAACTTCAATTTTGCCATACTGTTCAAAGTAGTCCCTCAGGTGGTGCTCCTCTGTGTCTTCTTTAATTCCCCCAACAAATATTTTCTTCACTGTCAAGTGGGCTCCAGGCCTTTGAGAGTCCTACAGTGAGATAGGATAGATACGCTGTTAGACCTGTATGACTGCTTCTGTCTCAGTAACAAAGTAATCCTGGCTGCTAGACAGGGTCTGGACAGGCACAAGATTTCAAGGTTTGAAGTCAGAAAATGCTCTGACCTTACAGCTAGGACTGGAGCTCTGATAGTTAGTGAAAAAAAGAACCATAGCAGTCACATTTCCAAAGTTACAAGAATTACATCAGAGACAGACTAGCATTTCAAGGAAGGAGACTAGCATTTCAAGATATGACCTATCTTGGTGGCACCTCAATCTCCTTTCTGTACATTCTGAGGTGACCCCTTTAGACAGCTGAAATTGGCCATCTTAAATATTGTGTAGGATAGGAATGTGGAAGCATTTCCGCCCCTGCAATCTTTCTGCCTGTTTGGAGAGTTACAAGCATCCAGGTTGGACTGTGTCCTAAGATACTGTTCACTTTCTTTACTACTGCTTGGCAGCTATCTCAACTGGACAAGGATACCATACAAAGTGTGTGCTGCAATAAGCCAAAGTCTTGTAAATCTGTAATGAAGGCTGTAAATCTTCATGAAGGCCACAATTCTAAATATGCCAAAGGAATATGCTCCATGGAACTCAGGGACTTTACACTTTCACAATTATGTATCTATTCTGACATAAACCTCAGTTCAAAAGATTTAGCAAAATAACTTTGTAACACTTTTATAATAAATGTAAAAGACACAGCAGAATCAGCGGATTCTAAAACTTACTGGGGAGAAAAGGATTAATACTGAAACAAAACCTATCATAAATTTCCTTAAGAAAAGATGCCAAATATATTATCAGCCCAAGACAGAGGCCTTGTAAATGGTGACATCCAGCAAAAAATTGTGTACTGATTATTACACAAATTGCAGATAAATAGAAGCATAGGTATAATATGCCTGTTTGCATTAGCAATACTCAATTATGAGAGTTTCTAATAGGAACAGGAAGTGGTTTGTATGTGTCCCAATTCACCATGATACATCACTACATCAAAACAGTGAACACGGACTATACCTATACACAGGTATGTTTTAGCCTTCAGCACCATGCACACAAGCACACTGCTCTGGCTAACTTCTCTAAATGTCATCTGTGCAACCAAAAGCAGTTTTTACCTCTCTAGATACAGCTCTCTTTGGTTCAACAACTCTACCATCAACTTTGTGTGGCCTAGCATTCATGGCAGCATCGACCTCTTCCACTGTTGAGTAAGTGACAAATCCAAAGCCCCTGGAGCGCTTGGTGTTTGGGTCTCTCATCACCTAGGACAAACCATCAAAGTGAGCACATGTTTTGGCTTTAGTGAACATAGGCAGCTAGTTGAACTGCCTGGAGATGTCTTACAACAGCTCTCAGTCAAACCAATGAAGAGTTCTATTCAATGTATCACTATTCTCTGAGCCAAGAGCAAAAAGGAGGATTAGCACATTAAATCAAACACTTCACCATGCTTGCTAATCACTCTCTGTTCCTCTTTTTTCAGGTACTCTGGTTATTCATCTTCAAATACTTATTATCATATTCAGCACTAAATAGGATATAGTCCCTCAAAATAAAAGGTTATATACCCACTCACCACACAGTCTGTAAGTGTGCCCCATTGCTCAAAATGATTGCGAAGGCTCTCATCTGTTGTCTCAAAACTGAGGCCACCAATAAATAGTTTGCGCAGCTGTTCAGGTTCCTTGGGGGACTAGAAGAAGAGCAGTGATGGTAAAACCAGGAAGGTACCTATGTGACATTTGCAGGACACACCCACCCAACTATTCCTTAAAAGAAACAAGGCCAGCTCTCATTGCACTAGCATTATTGGATATTCCATTTATGAAACGTTTATCAGATATTACATTTATTTAACATAAATGGCGTGTTTCATACTTTGCTTGCTATCATCTTAAATAAAATAGAACAACTTTGCAGCAATTGGGTACCACTTTGGTAGCCACCTACCCCCGTATTAATTACATGAAATTGTTGCTTAAAAGCACCTGCACTTCAGGTTCCCTATTTAGTCCTACACTGGAGGACTACAACTCCTTTTAATATCACAACATTTTGTTATAGTGTATAAACAGAAATGCATCAAATATGCTGCTTTCCGCATCTTAATTTTATACTTCAGTTTACGAGTTCTGCTAAGGGAAACTGTAACTGAGGGAGCAATATCCTTATCTGCTTCAACACTTCGAACCAGATAGTTGCTTCAGTGACACATCGTAGCTAAGGAAACTAGCTAACACAGGGCATTAAAAATAATCAGTGAAAGGTAACACTATCCAAGTACAATGACAGTATTTTATATAAGTCTACAATGATCTTACTCCAAAGTTGCTCTTTACCAGTGCAAATTATTTAAGTCCGATGTGACTAACCGGGGAGCAGCCTTAGCGCGGAAAGTCTTGTTTCACAGCAAACCTTCATTGTCTACAGACCCCAATTCACAAACACAGAAAGACCAAGGATAAGAAGCGAAAAATCCATTGCGCTGTCTTTCCGCTTTCACAAGAGAAAGCTGGAGAGGAGAGGAAAAGGAGGGTGCCGAGAGAAAAGTGAGACTGCATAGACAAAGAAGACGAGCACGTGGCTATCGCTTCATCCCATCCCCCACATAGCTCGCCATGGAAGATGGTGCGGGAAAGGCGCAGGCGCGCGCTCCACGCAAACGCACCCGCCTGCACAGCGCAAGCGCAGCCATTCCAAGCAGCGGCAACAAACAGCTGTGAACGCCACGCATTAGAAAAGATGGCGCCTGCCCTACGGAAGCTAGCGCGCATGCGTAGGCCGAAAGCGATTAGGCCCAGGCCCAAGCTGCTAAGAAAGAAATGCCCTAAAGCAGGATACAGAACAGAAATATGATATTCAAGTGAGGGCGGGAGAAAAAAAGGCATTATCTTTGTCACTTACTGCGTTAGGAGACATATCGCACCCGTAATCAGACGAACCCTAAAGGCAAAGGAGACATAATTCCACGAAAACAAGCCACAGGTTTGAGATAAAAATAATAAATAGAAAAACGGGGCCCATGATGAGATCTTACCTCAGATTTCGACATGGTAGCAGAACCAAAACAAGCAAGGCCTAGCCTCACTTCCTTGCAAACGACGCTACTGCTCGCCGTAGCCGAGACGAAAAGGAATAGAGTCGGCAGAGCGCCGTCGCCTCACTATCAATGCCCACCCCTGTCGATTCTCATTGGTCGTCCGCATAGCTTTCTTCACCTCTCATTGGACTATGGTCCTATTGCTTGCCCCCTGTTGGAAGATCGGATAGGGACTACGCCCTTCTTTCTTCGTTATCCCCACCTCCGTTCACTTGCTATTGGTTACATTTCTGTCGCTCCTCCACTTTCCTACCCAGTTCTCGGATAGCCTATTTCAGGGCGACGTTCTTCAACGCCGCATATCTTCTTCCTGATTGGGCAATTCGGAACGCAGATTTCTTATGATTGGCTAATCTAACCGGATACTTTCGGGGGGTTGGCTGGTTTGCGCTTCATTCACTCTAATAGAGGCGGGAAATAAGTTGGTTTTTCTAAACGTTTTTATGTTGGTGGTTAGAAGTTTATTCTTCCAAGAGATGGTGAAGGCGCGAGCGAGAGTAGAAGGGGTGAAAAAGCCATTTAATATATAAAACTTGCTTCGAGGCAGGTGTACACGGTGAGCCGTGCCATACAATCCGCGCATGCGTCCTAAAGTGTTGCATCTGTGGTGGTGGCGGGGGAAGAGAATGGAGAGGCGCGCGCGCTTCACGCCAGCGCAGTGAAGCTAGGAAGGGGGCGGAGGGGCCAGCGCGTGCGCACTAGGAAGCTGTTTTGGCGGGCGTTGCGCAGAAGCGGCGGCTGTGAAGGGTTACAAACCAGGGAGGGGGAAGTTGGTTTCGTACCGAGCCGTTACTTTCCCCAGGTGAGCAATCACGGAAAACAGTCTTCGCGGGTGGCGCGTTAACGAGAGCCTGTGATTCCGAGGGAGGGGGCGTGGTCTCGGCGTGATTGGGAGCCTGACGGACTGAGCCGTGAGGTACCGTTGGAAGAGGGGCGGGGCTTGTGCCTTGGGCGGGGCCCTGCGTGCTGAGTGACAGTCCGATGGGTCGAAGGGTTGAGGCAGTTGGAGCGCTAGTATGTTGAAGTCCAGAACGTGGAGTAGCAGACGTTTTAACCAACGGGAAAGCTGCGGTTGCTTTTTGGGGGTGGGGGAGTCTAAATCTGATTGACTGACGCGTGAGCTAGCCAATGACTGGATACGCGGCAACTAACACTCTAGGTATGAAGTCTTTCGGGGATGGAGGGCGCTAGGAGTGCCGCGCATGCAGGGAGCGTAACCCATTCCCGCCCTGAGTCTCTTCCTCCTCCGTGACCCCGCGAGATATTGCCCATATTGTTCTAATCTCGTGTGCTTTTCCCATTCATTCTTCACAACCTTATGCTCTTCCAGGCATTATAACGAAAGTTCCTCATATAGCCCAATATTTATGGGTCCTCCTTAAGTCAGTCCATGGACCCTGGAGAAAACCTTAGTGGGAGTTCCTCACGTATAAGTGACACTTCTGTGTCTTCCTAATCCGTTGCTTGTGCAGGTTGGGTGCAGCAGCAGGTTTCTGCAGCAGAACTCACTCCTTCGCAGAATTGGCCCCCTAGCCAGCCATGAGACTTTGCTGGGCTTGCGAATCCTCTCCTGCATCTATATGTTTATCGCTTTTCAGGCGTTTGCGTAGTGCTAACAAATCACGTCCGGCCATTTGGCTTCCAAAGGTTTAACACCAGGAATCCGAGAAGCTCCCGTGAAGTCAAACCCTTAATGGCATGCTTTCTAGCCTACAAGGTGCTCATCCTTTATCTAGCACAGAAAGATTTGGGGTTTCTCGGATGTGGAGTGAATTAAAGTCTAGAATCAATCAAGTGGCATAAAAGAAACTGCTGCCATTTGTACTGTTTGTAATATCTGGTCTTGTCCTGTTGTGGTTGCTTTACTTTGGGAATGGGTTGAATTGAGAAGTGGATCCAAGATGCAATTTTTTTTTAAGTCTAGTCTGTCATCTTAGCTGTTCTGTGAACTACATTGTCACTGTTAATCTTTAAAAAATTATAAGGGAATGAGGCTGTGGAGAAATATTCTGTGGTAGAATTGGTTCTGAATGTTCTGAAGTACATTGCATTATTCACATATAATTACATCCCTAATCTTACAATGGTGGGATAAAAATGGATACTTTGTTTTTTTTTTCTTCTTTTGAAAAAAAATTGTTTTTGTTTAAATATATCTTATAAAATAAAGCCTTACTTTACTCTTACTAGGAGAGTGAAGTTTTCATATTCACTTTATTTTGCCCTCGTTCTTGAATTATTTTGCAATAAGCTAAGAAAGCTATCTTCATGCATAAAATGGTAAAGAATGAGGAATGTAATTTCAGATAAATATGCTGCTTTCTAAAATACCTTTTATGTAGCACAATACATAGATCTGGAGCAGCAGTAAGTATAATAATGCAACTGTTTGGGGTTGCTATTAACAGTAAGCTTTGTAAAGTGGCTCAGATACCTCAGTTTTATGTTTATAAAAAGGATCTATCTGATCCTGTAAGGAAAGGGAATGAAGATCATGTTGCATATGTGTTATGATATTCCTCCATGAAGAAGAACTATTGCTGGTTATCCTCTGTAGAACACCATGATTCACCTTCATTCTCCCACTGCTAGATGGTCAGAGAGAGAGAAGTGTCATTCAGAGAAAAATTATTTGTATGTTTAGATTGAATCCTACAATTCCTGTGGTTCCCTAGTGGCCATGGATGGTGTGAAAATGCTAGCAGCTCTAGGACAAGTTTTCCTGCCTGAATACACATAGTAGGATTGCACCCTTACTCCACATTAGTGTTGAGCTTGCCTGAAGATCATTAATGGCCTGAATAAGTGAAGCCTCTTTGAATGTGTGGATTCTGAGCATACCCAATTGAAGCATCTGTGTAGAATTCCAAATGATAGAGCTTGAACTGATTGATAGCTTGGATACTGAAGAGGTAGTAATGAGCACTTAGCCACAGTAATGTAGGAGCTGGTTTAAATGAAATAGACTATATGGAACCCTGCACAAGTATCACATCCTTAACCCAGAAATTGTCCCATATATGTATAGGATTTTCATGGCTGAGCTGTAGCACAAAATTGCACACAAGTGTTGCATTTGTAGGAATAACAGTTGGGTTATTTAGAGCCTGACATATGGAAGTGTGTTTTTGTGTACCAAACATCTTGTTTATATCAGCTGGATGAAGAAATATTAGAGGAAGGTTGGGAGAACTCAGAGCAAGCTATTTATTTGCTATACAATCACTTGATTGACAGCAATTTGGTGCTGGCTTGGACTAGGGGACTGAAGGGTATCTGTACCTGAAAAGAAGTAGAGTAAATGTTTTGATCATGCATCCACCTTGCCTTTTGCACTGCAGAATTATTTCTCCTTCAAAAAACAAGATTTCTGTTTGATTCTCTCTGTACACATGTAAAAATACTAAGCAAAGTGTCTTTTTGGCTTAGGTGGGAAAATCAGCATATTTACTAAAAAAACCATATTGAATAAACTGGAAGTTACTTCCCATTTCAGAATTTAAGAGTTGTTTGTAGGTGTTTAGAACTTAGTGGACAAAATAACATTTTATCACCTAGAACTGAATATGTTAAAGAGTTCAAGTGTTCAAAATAGTTCAGAATCTGTATAGGCCTAGTGGAATATCTTAATGTAATGCAACATGGCATCTTGTGGATCTTTGTACCTTAATGAGTTTGCTAATTCCTGAGTTCAGGAGGAACTGTACAGTAATGTATACAATGCATGACTTATTGACTATGTATGGTTAAGCCAGGGTTTCTACCTTAAACCACAATGTATGTGAGCTATGTGTTAGTGCATGCAGTCTGTTTGTTCCTGCTGTGCTGCTGCTGCTGCTTTTACACCAGCTAGGGGGAGTTCAGCTTTACCCCAAACCCAGGAGTTTTTTGGGGGTTTTTTTGTTTTTTGTTTTTGCACCAAACTAGGATTGTAAGAAAACACAATCCTAGGTTGAAAAACCACACTTGAAAAACCACACCGAACTCTTTACTTTATTTACTTTATTTGCCTGCTTACAAGGAACAAAACAGGAATGAATGGACTGAATACATTAACACACCTTGTTCATTCATAAAAGGATTCCTGGGTTACAGTGATGTGTAAATAAGGCCATCATATAATCCACAACACTTAATTTCACATCCCCCCCCCCCATGGCTTACCTTTTCTTTAAAAAGTGATTTTAATTCAATTTGTTTGATGGATGGTCATGATTTGGTGTAGGAAGTTATTGTAGACATTAAGATATTCATTTTAAATTCAGTGTCCTTTAAAGCTAGGTTATTTTTTTCAAGAAACTATGAAACTAAAAACATTAACATGCAATTTAAAAATCTGTTTTCAAATTTACCCTGTCTTAGGTGCAGCTGAGAGCAATTTCCCCTCCTGGAGTTAGCAGAAATAATTGGTAGGCTTTATCATTTTTTAGATGGACATTATGATGATTACCTTCATCCAACTCTTCTCTCACATCACAAAGAGATATTCTTTTAGATTTCATTTCATAAGAGTAAATATTTTGTGAACATCAAACTGAATGTGTGATGATTTACTTGTCAACTTGTCTTTCCTTATTTTGTTTTTCTGTGTTACTTAATTTTGGAGGCAATTTATTTTATCATTTATAAATTGTATTCCTACAGTTATACAAGTTTATGTAGAAATTTGCATTTTTAAAGATCAGTAAAATTATTAGATAATTTAGAATAACAAAATTTGCAGAAGATCTTAGGAAGGTTTTCATTTAATTTTTAAAGTTGCTCTTTAGGTGGGCTGTTCCAAAGTTGCTGTACCATTTTACAGCATGCTCTAGTGTGTATACCACAAGATAGAATGCTAGAAAAGGAAGGCACTTAGAGCAGCGTCCTCAACTTTTCTGAAAACAATCTGAATGCCATGGATTGGATATATTCCTCCCTCCAGCATAAGAAAACTGTCTAGATCTGGTGACAGTGAGAACTTAGTGACTTCTTTGACTACCTTATAAATGCCAAAGTTTAAAAAGGCACATACTAGATAGTATGAATGAAGGCAATAGGTGTGCAAATTGCCATTTTCTCCTTCATTTATTTATTTACTAATACGGATGTATATATTGCTAACTATATTTTAAAATATTTCTAGATGGTTAAAGATAAGATAAATGGAAGCTGGGAATAGGAGAGAATCTGACCTTCAATGTTCTTTTAAAGAGAACAGAAGCAATTTATGCTCACATAGGCCATTCATAACTGGCACTGCATGCAGGTATATTCTGTTATTATATAGCTGCATCTGAATCCAAAAATGTCCTGAAACTAGCAAGAGGAAGAGTCTCTAAAATGCAGTAGGCCGACTGTACTTCACTGTTTGTCCTTATTTGCACAATAGGTTTGATTTGAACTGATCAGATTGTTCCAACATATACTTCATTAATGATTTTTCCATACATATTAAAATAGGTGAATTATAGTAGAATAGGCAAATTGGCAACTATCATTTACCCCTGTGTTTTCTTTTGTAATGAAACTTTTATCTAGTTACTGTATATTGTCTTCCCCAGCATGCTGTCTGAGTGCTTCCTGAACAAACAAGCAGATCTGCTTATTAACTGTCCAGATCTAACTTGAAATATGCAAGAAAACATCTGTATTCCTGATTTGCTGTGCTAATAAAATGCTTTTCATATCCCAAACCAGAAGAATTTCAGTAATTTAAGTGGATGAAGTGCAAATAACTAATAATATTTTATTTAAATTACTGCTTCTGTCAAAATAATGAGTAAATGTTAAAGAACTTAAGTTCTTTCCTGCCTTGCAATCTTGCTTTTAAGTTAAATGTTTAAATCTTGTATGCATCTTGAACATCTGTGTTCTCTCTCAGCAAAATGGCTGCTGCTGGTTTGTGGATCAGAAATGGCCACTGGAAGATTATTTGTAGTGCAGTGAGTGATTGACTGAGAGGACAGAAATAGTGGGGTTAGGCTGTGTTTATTGTTTTGAGATGGAAATATTTGTATTTGTGTTTTTCTAAAAGGCAAGATAAATTGTCCTTGAACATTCCAGGATGGATAAGTCATGCAAGAAAAACTTAGAAGACAGCTGTATAGAAGAATGCATCTTTTATTCCTGAGGCATTTCGAGGATGGCTCTTGATGAAGATATAGAATGTCCATATCTGAAATTAAAAAAGATAAAATCAATACCCATAGTATTCCATAGATCATTAGTTACATATCTCTGGTAAAAGACCCAGTAATTCCTATAATTATTAGCATGATTCTTGGCATGCCTTTTACTTATTTCAGAGTTCTCCCCTGTTCTTCTGAAGAAAATAGAAGGGGTATGGAAACATGCCAATCTACTCACCTAGTGGCAGTAAGAGGTATCAGTCATATCTGGATCCTTCAGCTTATAAAATTTAAAAACTCAACATAGCCAGACTTAGAACATGAGTCAGAAATGGTTGCTCTAGTGCGTTGATCTGGTTTTAATAAAAAGCCCTGCCCAACAGATTCTATGGATAGCTTTATCAAAAGATTTTACAAACTTGGGTCTTGGCTGTCTTGAGCCTGAATTGATCTGATCTGTGAAAGAAAACTGTACATCAGTCTAGACAACCGAAATGAACCAAAGAATTCCTGGTTCACTCCCTGCCACCATAAACTATCGAAGTGAAAAATTATGAATTGTAAAAATGTAAAGTAATAGTCTGGATCAAAATAGTATTGTGCAAGGAGAAAGCACTTCTGCTTGTCAAGAATGGGATTGTGGTTTTGTTTCCATCTCTGGCCTTTCATGCAACATTGTATCTTACTCAGAAATAACTTGCAGAGTGTCAATACCTACAAAAAAGTTGTAATATATGCATGAAACTTCTTTGGATTTTGTTTAAAATTAAAATCAATTCCAACATTTTTAACTCAACAAAGGATGCTGCAGAGTGTGCATGATTAACCCAGGCTGTGCGTTGGGGATGTTTCACAACTTTCTCAAATAGCCCCTGAAGTTGCTCCTTGACATCTGGACCTAGATACAAGAGATTAATCATAAGTTGAACAACACACAGTTAACATGCAATTTGTAGTTAGGTTAATTGAGTTGTTACACTCATGACCAATCTGTATTGTCTGAGTTCAGATGTCACATAGCAATCCTTAATCTTATCTTAAATACAGAAAATGACTATGGCACATTTCATAGTAAGTCATGGGTTAATTAAACCAAGATTCACCACCTTAAAAGTAACCTTTAGGTTATCTGTTATGAGATTTGATAGAAGAGGACAAAATAATCCTAAACAGGCATAGAAAAGTTAGCGCTTTTTGTGTTGGGAGTGGCTCTCCCAACCATTCCCCTGGAGTTTCTTGTATTTTGTAGGCAATTGAAATACATTTTAAAATACTAACTTTCAAAACAAGCTGCAGTAGGCTAGAAGTTTCTGTAACATTCTAGAAGTTCACATTCAATTTTATCTAAGTAAGTTGGGAAAAAACCCCATCCCTGATGACTTGTAGGTGAGCAGCAGAAGAGATTTCGATTTCTTCTTGTCTTTTTATAATCTTTAAGATCAAACTTGTCAGTTCTGATCTTATCTTTAATCCTCTTAATTCTGTTTTGGTATTTTGTTTTACAAATTGCACAGAAGGCTTTTGCTAGGGCTAAAAGGTTAAAGTTTGTAATAAATTCTACCTGCAGAGTGCTTAAATAGTGTTTGTTCCAGAGCACTGAAAATACAGTATTGCCATCAAAATACAAATGGAGTGCAGCAAAAAGATCAGGACTTGGTTCTCATGTAATGTCAGTTCATAGGTAGCTAATTTATGAGTGCTTTAACACATTGGTAAGGCTGTGCTAGAATGAGTGAGTATACTGGATCCCACCTGCTTGCCACTTCTGATTTGAATCTGTTTTCAACGACCCAGAAACACCCTCTTGACTGCTAAATGTATTTGAAAAAAGTTCCAAGTGGTTCCAAAAATTATCCCAATTACATCCAAATACATTATGATACACTGTAAAATACCTGAAATTGCTAAAATATTGTATAAAACAGTAATAAAACATTAAACTTACTTTAAATGAATACAACAGCATAACTATTCTGAGAAAACACTTAACTGCAAATGCCCAGACCTGATCGCTGAAATCTTCATCAGAGGCCCTTCTCCGAATCCCTCCCTCCATCAAATAAGGGTGGAGATGGCTAGGAGAAGGGCCTTTTCTGTAATAGCTCCATATCTGTGGAACACCCTTCCGATCAAGATCTGCCAGGCGGCGGTGTCTTTTTCATTTAGACGCCAATTGAAAATATTTATTTTCTGTAATTATTTTGGTGAGTAAGTTGAGCTGGTTTTATTATGGTTATCCTATTGGTTTTACTGATACTAGTGCCATGTTAAAAGAAGTTTTAGTTGCCAGATATTTTTATTCATAGAATTATTTTTAAATTACTTGTTTTAAGTAGTTTTATTATGTGAATGTTTATTTTTTATTTTTCTATTTTTATTGCTTATGCATTTTTATATCAACTTGTTTTAATTTTTCCTGCTCAGTGCAGTGTCAGCTGCTTAGAGACCCTGAAGGCTATGGGTACAGCATTCAAGTGTAACAAGCAAACAATAAACTGTAAACAGGGTAGTCTATTCACTCAGAAAAGGCCTGGATTAAATAAAACGGTCTTCAGTTGGTGCCTAACAAGATAGACCTGGTGTTTCCCAAACACCAGTCGGGAGATCATTCCATAAATTGAATGACATCATGGAGGAGGCTCACTTCTTGTTTGCTGTGAAAGGGCAGCCCACAGCTGAACCCACAAAACATGGAGGAATGCTCTGACAGAAATGAAGATGCTGTGATATACAAGTACTATCCGTTCAACATTGAATGAAGGAGCAGCAAAATAAAAAGGTTTGCGTTATGAAAGCCCAGGTGCTATACCTGAAATAACAGCACCAGAGGAAGGAACATGTGCAGCACTGAAACCTCAGTGTTCCCAGAGTTTCAAAGGCTACAGTCATTGATGAGATGTATTCTTTTTCAAATAGTGAATATGCTTGGATGTAATAGTGGCATCTGGAGGCAAATCATAGATTGATTAACCCACAACTTGCAGAGATGTGCACTGTGCCTGAGCTGTTGCCTTTGTCTGTTAACCCTTGAATGATGCATTTTATATTTGAACAAGGCATCTGTGCTTATTTGTGGCTTAAGCACACTGAATTAGCCCATAGCTTGCTGTTGGGGTAACTTGGTGCACCCCGCCCCCCCCCACACAATTCATGTATTAATCCAGAATGTGCTGGTGGATGCTGTCATTGCATCTATAGAGGATCATTGTTATTGTTTCCTTTTAATGATCATCCTCTAAGGTAAATGTTTTATCTTAGTACAATCCCTGAAATTTATAGGAATGTTTCCTAACTTCTCT